AATAAAACCTATGCTCATCAAAGAGAAATTATTTCTTAGACACAGGGTTTTCTCCAGGGGTAGGCAAGCTGTCCCCTTTAAGGGCCGAGGGACTTCAGCTCCCAGAAGCCTCAGCCATGTTGGCCAATAGTCTGGGATTCTGGGAGCTGAAGTCCCTCGGCCCTTAAAGGGGACAGTTTGCCTACACCTGCAACTGTTAGTGCCCAGTCCATTCTGTGGAATGCCAGCTTGTCAGGAGGTGTGGAATCTGGGAGATGTAGTGGAAAAGCAATGTTCATACCCTCCAACTATCCTGATTTGGCAGGGACAGTCCTGAATAATCCTTTGTCATCCAACTTTTTCTGCTATTTTTAAAATGTCCCTGTTTCTCACTCTTGCTCTCACTTTCCCTCTGTCTTCAGTTTAATGCATTGCTGCAGAGTGACAAGCTTATTGCATTCTTAAATAACTCACCTTACCTGATCCAGCTTAAAATTAAATTTGGACAGTGTCCAGACCCTATTGCAAGGGTTTTGCTGCTGAAATCACTGCCTGGGGCCATCCTGGGGCCATCCCTGCTCCTGGAGTTGCTCCAGCGGCCATTTTCTCAGGCTGGAAAACTCCCAGCTTCAAAAAGAACTGCGCTGAGCAGTTCTAGGAGCAGAGATAGCTCCGGGCTACATTCGGGCAGTGATTTTGGCAGCAAAACCCTTGCGATAGGTTCTGGACACCCAAATTTAATTTTAATCCAGATCAGGTAAGGCAAGGTATTTAAGAATGTGATAAGCTCCTGAGTTCAAAGTATAAAATTAATTTGCACTCAACTAATTCAGTGGGGAGAAAGGAAAGGAAGGGCAGAATTCTGCCCTTCCCAATAGGCTCAGGTGAAAAAGCTGCTGCATCCTCTCTTATCTTCTGTGTCCCTCCTCATTAACAAGTTTTGCCATTCTGACCACATGCTGATGTTGTTTGACCATATGTGTCCTAGTTTTCATCTGTAAAATGTTGGAGGGTATGAATTTTTCCTGCTCTAATTAATATACAAACACACAACAGGCATCAGCATAAATGGCAGCTTTTAAACATGGAACTGCACTTATAGTTCATACAATTATACAATTAAATTTTGTTTTCATACACAGAGTGTTCTACAAGCAGGCCTCACTCTTTTTGACATGGTGTTCTGCAGCTGACCTGCATTCCTTTCAAAACCGTTTAATCACACACAGCTGACCAGCATTCCTTTTATAAAAAAACCCCACTCCAAACCCACCTAATCAAATGCATTTCAAATACCCCAAACAGTTATTTAATCTCCATATATGTACAAGTGTGAAACATGTGTTGTCCAAATACTCTTTGCAAAAAGTGCAGCATTAGCCTGATGTTTCCAAAATAAACCTTGCACAGTATTTCTCCACCTCGTTTCCAATCAGCACACAAGTCTCTCACAGAGTGAATTTTAGCAAAGCAATTTCCCTGCTGTTCCCTCCTGTCCCTTCACATCCTCTGCAGTCTTAATAAAAGAATATATAGTTACTAATTTTCATACATTTCAGTAATACATTTCCAGAGAGCAATATGAGTATTTTCCAACTTTGGGCCAGCACGATGCATGACCTGTGAAACAATAAGAATTCCTTCCAACACATTTCCCACTATCAAGATTTTAGTTTAAAAATGGCTTGGAACACGTTCTTAAAACATGGACCTTACTATGTTGTTTGAATTCATTTCATATGCAATTAGAAAGGTCAGTATAGTTTTCAATTTACAAATCTTGTAGGGTTATGTGA